GCCTTGAATCTCCTTCACGATGTGTATCCTAGGAGTGAAGCCGAAGCTATCAAGTCTTACTGTGATCACGTTAATGCCTGGATCCAATAATCCTTATTGATAACTTCAGTTAATAAGAATTAACTGAATAGATTCTTAGTTCTATTTTCAAGGGAGTTGTCTTCTTGCATTAGTGAATGATAGCTGTAATCTAAGATTAAGCCTTTTTGGTTTTAACCAATTCAAAATAATAAAAAGCCAAATTAAATCAATCACTATCAATCCCAATATGTAGAATTAGTTCGTCGACAATGATCGAAATGTGTATTCTACAGAAACTTATATTCCAACAATTAGTGTGTACAGTCACTTATTCACATCCCTATTTAAAGAATACTCAACTATATGAATATAGAAATGTATTATCCTTGTCTAAATACCATAAAAATTAGAATCAATATAGTGAACGTGTCATATTCATTATTAAATTATCAATCTCCAATAGTAAAATCACACAGAGCATGTTATAGTATATTTTCATTCACACAGTATCTACGTGTACATAACTGAATATGAACAAAACACAATCAAAGAAATAGATGATGTAAGCAAGAAACAAGTGATTACATCAAAACAGGAAGAAGGAGAATAAGAAATTTTCTGTTTAAAAAAAAACAACTATGGATAGACGTGGATAAATTTACGTAATCTGAACTAAACATAAATATATCTGCTTATTAACCTAAGGATTGATTTGTGAATTATACTGTTATAATTTTCCTTTTAAATGTATTTTAATATCACCTACTAAGCTGAATTGAGTGAAACTGGTACTGAACATGTAATATATCTGGTTGAATTACTTACTTACGCCTGTTACTCCCAATGGAGCATAGGCCGCCGCCCAACATTATCCAACCCACTCTGTCCTGAGACTTCCTTTCCAATCCTATCTGAATTTTGTTCATGTCTGTCTCCGTTTTTCAGTGTAATGTGTTCTTTGGTCTTCCTCTTTTCCTTTCACCTTGAGGGTTCCATGTGAGGGGTTGCGTTGTGATGCAAGTTGAGCAATTTCCTCAATGTGTGTCCTATCCACTTCCAGCGTTTCTTTCTGATTTCTTCCTCTACTGGGATCTGGTTTGTTTTATCCCATAGTAGGTTGTTGCTAATGGTGTCCGGCCGACGGATCCGAAGTATTTTGTGTAGACAACTGTTAATAAACACTTATATCTTCTGGATGATGGCTTTCGTAGTTGTTCAAGTTTCCGACTCATACAGTAGAACTGTCTTGACATTTTTATTGAAAATTCTGACCTTGGTGTAGTTTGACAGAAAGTCGTTTTGAGTTCTAGATGTTCTTCAGTCGTAGATATACTGCTCTTGCTTTGCCGATCCACGTCTTCACATCTGCATCAGACCCACCGTACTCATCAGTGAAATTGCACAGATATGTAAAGGTTTTTGCACCTCCCAAATCTTCTCCGTCAAGTGTGATTCGATTGTTGCATGCTGTGTTGTATCGAAGAATCTTGCTTTCCATATCTGGTTGAATACCAAAGTTTTATGTTTACTGATGGAAACATATCAGTTTATCCTAATCGTTTTCAAACAAAGTTACTGAATAATATTGGATGAGAATCTTGTAATGCTAAAAGATAATTAAAGTTGAGAAATTGAATATTCTTTTTCTTAATCGAAGTCCCAGTTGGTTAGCTCATGTCAGTTCCGAATTCACAAGGAATCGTGAGTGTAGGCTGATGGAAAATTTTAAGACAGGACAGCTGTCAAGTAAACTATATTATATCTTTTCTCCTGTTAATTATATCACGTGATTTACTCGCTAACCAAAACACGACTTACATAATCTTAGCACAGTGCCAAACCAATCACGTACTGACCGGTAAGAACAGCCTAAAGTTCTCATTGGTTCTTCGAGTTTAAGCCTTCATGTTGAGTCCAGGACACAATCTCAGCTTCCACTGTATAAAATCATGTATTTCAGACATGTTTTATATAAAAACAAACCAGACCATATTATACCAAAAAATAGGAAATAACAATTATATAAAACCAAGCTAAAAAGTGGCTATGGTTGTGAGAGACTGCAACAAACGAATTGGGACCAACTTAAGAATGGTAAATCGTACAATAGTACTCAACAGACGAAATCAAAGCCTATATATATATATATATATATATATATATATATATATATATATATATATATATATATATATATATATATATATATATATATATATATATATATATATATATATATATATATATATATATATATATATATATATATATATAACAGTCCATAAACAGTTCACAGAAGTTACGCATAATGTAATCCTCGTTCGGGTGAATTTTTAAGAATACTTGAGAAACTATCCAAAAATCCCTTAGCTAACGTCAAATCAGGCATTAGATACCGAAATATATAAAAACCCTGACTTATACATCCAGAAACCAGTAGTTATATATGACAAATGCACATACGGTCAGGTTTCAGTATAATGCTGAATTGATAAGGACTTCAATACCATAACTCAAATATTAAACTAAGATAATGACTACCAACCGAATGACGATTAATTTTAATGATAAAAACATTAGTGGCGTCAGATTTTTTTTTCTAAAAATCTGCGAGAAAATGAATTGGGCATGAATGAACCTTATAAGTTACAAGATGAATAGAGATTTTCATACCATATTGGTAGGGTAAGGAATAGATATGTTTTAAAATTAGCATTTAATTATGGTTTAAATAAATAAATGAATGTTAAGCACTTATAGAAAAGTTCACAAATCATGTGAAACCAATATATATACTGTTTGGATTTTGTCTTAGAATTCATTGATTCATATTTTTCACCTTCTGATTAATCGAAAGCAATTTCTTTTCAGGGTCAATCTCTCAAGTTCGGTAATTTAATTAAAAGCCAATACAACTATTGAAGCAGAATAATATGAATTCATTATATTTTTTGGGGGTTACGTGTCAGCTACTTACAATCATTCATGTGTATCAAAGTGTAACAATGAGATTTGATGTAATCAAAAGTAATCAACAATGATGATGTGAAAAAACGATCATCAATTATTTGAACAGGTGTGAGAACATTTAATAATGGAACCTAGAAATATAGGAAGTTGTCAGGCAATGATTAAATGAAGTCTAGAAACAAATAAGATGGATCATGTGATAACTACAGATGTGAAGAGATTAAAAAAGATTCAGATCACTTGACAATAGGTAAAAATTTAGACCTGTAAGGTTGAAATTGGTTAGAATCAGAAATGGAAGGGTTATGCAATAATCTTAATTCGCTATTCTAATGTTAAGTAACCTGTTTAATATCTAATTTTCATTGCACCAGCTCTACAAATTACTTTTCATTATCTAAATAGAGAATGAGAAACATTTATATTTACATCCAATTTGTCCCTATTACTAGGATTATTTAACTAGTTATAACAGTTAACTGATTATGAACATTCATTTTAATCGTCCAAACGATGTGCAACTAACTGGTTATTATAATATTTAGTTGACTTAACACCATTTAATCTGCATCGATGTTATATTCATTTGTAAAACCTGTAAATTAGCGGAGAATTCTGATGAAGAACAAATAGGAAAAGATATTCACTCGCTCAAATTGGCTTCCCAAAATCATTTAAATTATTCGTATGGACACTAAAAGATGTAATGACAAAAGTAAGAAAGCCTAACATCACCTGCAGAATAAACTGCTATAATAGTGGAAAACAATGGTTTTGAATGTTGTTAAAAGGATGAGGGCGGTTATCACTTCCCGGTTTCCCACACTTTGAAAGGGTTCTTGAAAAGGAAATTGGGTTAGAAGTGATCTTAATAGCTGCAGTGCCCAAGCGACAACTTATTGAGGCCGGTCGCAAACGACATTTTGTGTTAGCTTCGTACTGTTGAGAACTTACTGTCAGAAACAGATATGTGTGATAAGGGGAGGTGTGCAAATTAAAGGTTGACATTTTCTAACCCTACCCTTCTTTTGTGCGAATGCAGCATCGGTGGTATGCAGCTCGTCTGAGGGAAACATCTTACTGAGTCACAGCTATGTACAGTTCTCGGACCTTGAGGAACAACCGTTCCATGCAGTATAGTTCAACTAGTTCATCACGACAGGTAAGCTCAACTACCACGTTAAGGTAACAACAAGGGTGGGGATAGTGGACAAACGATGAATAAAATACCGTCCTTTTAGCCTGTGTCATCACTAATTTGCTATTATTCCACATTACGTTATATCAATGCATATAGACCATAGTGAACAATGGTTCAAATGGAAAAAACGTTGAAATATTGGAACTTGGCACTTAACAATGATTAGGCATCTCGAAAGATCTAATTTATCAACCAATTGGAGAAATCATGCACAGCTATACATCTAATAATCAAAATATCTATTCAGACGATAAGAGGGTAATTTATAATAACAAACAAACAAAACAAAACAAACTGTTGATGATCACTTGTTATAAGTCTGTATTGATAATGTTCTCTAAATAGACAATGAAATTCTCATAAATAAATCATTCAACACTTAGCTTTGCCAAAATTCTTTCATAAACAATCATTTATAATGAAGAAGAAGAAAAAAACAACCTTTCACATTCACTCATGAACAAATACATAAAAATTTAGATTAATTCTTTCAATAGCATTGTATTTATTGTAAACAAATAAAAACATTTTTTCCAAATACATGTACGCACATATAAGTCTTATCTATTAATTCAAATAGACAAGATAAACAAACAGTAATAATATCAACAACAGTAAAAGCTTAAAAAAACCAAACAAAATGAAATACCATTTCTAGTATCTAAAAAGAGAGTAAAGCTGACATGGTCTACTACCACAGTTGTTCTTTTATGCTTGTATGCCATTTAATGTATACACGTACACGTATATATATATATATATATATATATATATATATATATATATATATATATATATATATATATATATACCATTACATAAACAAAGATGTTCAATGTTAAACAGACAACCAAAACAGGGAAAGATGATCAATTTCACTATGAATCTATTTTTTTTTCTATTTCATAAGAAAAAAGTTTCATCAGCACAGTTAGAAAAACACAAAGAAAAATTCATTACAACAAGTCAGCAGTTAGTGTGTGTACTTAAGTAGGTACCCCATGGTTTATATTTTTTTTTAAAAAAAAAACACACATTCACATAATCATTTAAATAGGATAACTGAATTTAAAAGGAACAAAAAAAACAAGAACACGGTAATAAGTTGAATAGACGTATAAAATAAATAATGTATACAATTTTATTAGATCATTTTGATTTCTCAACTCTGAGAAAGATACTATGATCATCCTTAATTATTATTATTATTATCAACAATAGCAGAGCATCACTACAACACTAATTTGTTAAAACAAAATGACCGACTACTGAATCAAAAAAAAAGGGTATACATAAAAATAAGTGAATGTATACATGAGTTTGTGTATACATACTTTAACGTAAGCATATGATCAAATTCAATGATCCAATGCTAATTTAATCATCTTTATAAAGATATTAAAATATGATATGCATTGAACAATGTCAATGATTTAATTCAATTTTATAAAGAGTAATAACAAGAATTTAATGTTAATATCTGTTTTTAAAAAAATTTCATGATTATTTACAAATTGTGAACCATTAGAGAAAACTATTGTTTTTTTGTTCATACATAAAAAAAGAAGAGGTAGTTGCTATGCAATTAAAATAGAGAGGCAAGAATTGTCTTTAAAAACGAAAAAAAAATACATTCACACATATACAAGCAACATTCTAACACTTTATAATATAAAAATATACACTGTATCATTATGTCCTATGTACAAATTAATCATTGACAATACATAAACACAGAAAGGGCGGGGGGGGAATATAAATATATTCAATTCATAGATAAATATTCATATAGATTGACAATGAATTAAGTTATATATATATATTTTTAGTTCACAATAAAAACAGAACATTAAACATTAAAATACTATGAAAAGATTCATTTTTTGACATTATTACACTGGGATGTAAAATTTATTAATCAAAGTCAAATGAAGTAAATTATGAAGAAGAATTCTATCTTGCTTCAATCACTCTCTATTTTAATGTACTAAGATACATGTAATTGTATATACATATATATATGTCACTACTTAAACATCACTCATCGACGTACACTTAACAAAAATCATTTCAGTTATCATCAATATTGAATATAAAGAATATATAATATATATCATTATCATTCATACATAGCAATAAGTAGACTTCATAAAGCAGAAGAAGAAGAAGAAAAAAAACACAAACACAAATCTACAAAATTATTCACATTATTTATTCAATATAGATTAACAATTTGTTTATAGTGGGTTTTTTTTTGGTGAAATATCATATCCTCAGAGATCATCGTCATCATGAACGTTGTTGTTGATGCTAAAGATGTTCATAACGTTGCTTCATATGAATAAAAAAAGAAAAATTCAAATGGATATTGAATGATTACATCATCATGATAGATCATTCTCATTATTTCTACTATGGAAAGAATTATAAAATAAGAGGAATGTTTTTTTTGTTGTTGGTATAATTCGTTTAAAAATAAACAATCAATTACGATTTGATAAATTAAAAACTAAACATTCTCTTTCAATAAGATTATTGATGATGATGATGACGATGAAGTAAGAGATCATGCATAGTACATAAAAGTATATCGTAGAAGACAGTAAAACAAGAATGTTCAATATGATTCAACTCGACTTTGAACAGTATTGTTTATCTGTAAAGACTATTGTGTTGTTATCCTTCAGTTTAAACACAATTAGGTAGGTAGGGATTTGAACACCAAAAATTATTGATTGAAATGTTAACATCTTGATCACTAAAACAAGCAGTATTCAATAGCTTATAACGAAAAAAGTTAAACCATATATATATATATATATATATATATATATATATATATAAAATATACAACAGACACATGTATATGTATAATTGAATAATTAACTCGATAAAAAGTGACCAAGAAAATGCAAAATAAAAATGAATAGAATCATAGAAACAAACTAATGATACATTCAAGAGACAATATGATAGCCAATACAAAAATGAATCCAGAATAACAATGCATACACATAGAATATATACCGTAAATAAATAGTAAGAAGAAACATGTAGTTTACAAGTGAAATGAATTAGAAACAATGTAACAATGTAAAAATAAAATAAAATAAAATTGTAATGTATACAATAGACAGAGAAGTAAATAAACAATTAGAGATCATTGAATAAATAAATAAAAGAAACAATCTTAAAAACATGTAAATCAATTCAGTTTGTTTTTATATTCTGAATCTAATTCATTCACTGAAACCTCTTTTGTTGTTGTTGTTGTTGTTGTTTTCAATTATCAAATCTTGTTTACATGATGGATTGTTTCAATGATGGTCAGAGTCTTATTCTGTTGAATTTACAGATTGAATAGATAATGATTGTAAGGCACTAATATTATTATTATTATTATTATCATTAGTTGTAGTGTTAATATTATTATTATTAACATTATGTTGAGGATGATTAATTGGATCAGTTACAATTGAATGATAATTGATCTTAGGTGTACTTGTTAAACATTGAACACCGGGTAAGGTAGATAATGCTGAAGGTACCCAAATTACTGGACCACTATGTAATTGAACATAATTTTTAACAGATAATAATACATTGTCAAAATTTTCATAGGTTATAATTGCTGGAAGAAAAAAAATACAAAAATATATATGAGAGAATTGTTTTTTTTTTAAAGTGTCCATTTATGCTTATCATAAAATAGGTAAATTGTAGTTTAATAGTACAATCTAGAACTAATATTTCGTCTTATTTGGAACTTATCAGCTTTTTGTGGGGCCATTCATTTACATGTCAATTAGACCAGACGATGTTGTCGACGAGCTCTCCACTTTAGTGGCCCGGGATCTGACTCCAAGTAGATCGTATGAATGATTGCTATTGAAATATATATGTCGCCTATCCTCGTATATAATCAGCGACTTCAATAGGGTTAGTCAAATAATTAAGATGGACATTTGAATACATATATTTGGTATCTGAAGTGAATGGAATAGAGAGAAACGAAACGACGCGCAGTGGAGCTGGCGGGTAAGCCAAATCCATTTAGTCAAGCGTTAATCAATATTTGTAGTCACACAAAGTTACAAGTGAAAAATAGGATAAGAAATGTACACAAATATATGCGCTCATATGAAAAAAGTCAAGATTAAGTGAATAATGAAGGTTAAAATGTGACTCAACTAGAATGAGTAGATTGGCCTGTCTGAAAGCTAGAAAAAGATATATGTGCTTAACATGTCAACAGACACTACAAGCTGTATGGAATAGTATTTCAAATTTGATGTTCACGTTGGAATATGAATCCAAAGCATTTCGCTTCAAAAATCAATATATTGTTCACTGAGTTACTATGACTAAATAGATACTAATAAAGTCAATGAATAAAATTATGTCGATTTGTTGAATTCCAGGATTGAAAGTAAAATAAAGATGATCATCATTTGGATAGAAATTCAACTGAATTACAAACACATACAAAGAGTAAAATCTTGATCTATAATGCTTTTGTCATTTAAAATGTTATGTAGTTTTCTTTTTGTACAGATCAATTTTAAATCAATGCCAACAAGCACACAAACTTAGAGAAATATAGATTATGCCAAACTTTATAAAATACACACGTTTTTGAGTTTCTTTTTTGTATATCACAGATTTACCATTAACCAGCAATCAGAGACTATTAAATATAGTAGTCAAGCTGTGGTCAAGCTGTTCGACTTATAATCAGTAAGTCATAAGACCGAATCCCACCTTCAAATTAGCGTAGTCAGTGTAACTAATTTGGCTGTATCACTGGCCTTCATATTTGAGCTTTGGCTCGAAGCCAAGTACAAAAACCTTTATCCAACCAAGGAGTTGATAATAATAATAATGAAAATCCTTATACCATTAATAAATAAATAAATACATTAAGAAATATGTGACTTCATCGATTTTAAACGTTATAAATAATAACCAATAAAAGTGTTGTTTTTTATAATTTCAATGTTCAGTTAAGACCACAAGATAATGGATAACATGAAACTATGTGTATAGATATATCGAGTCTTTAGGATGCCTAGTTAGAGTAACACGTGAAATTCTATATTTTCCAAAGAACAAGAAAATATTCTGCTCGACTGATTACTGATTGATTAATTAACGGAGTGAATGAATGGTGCAAGATTGACCTCATTACACATACAAATAACTGTCACCTAATTTCATGCATTGAAAAACGTTAACACATGAATAGAACAATCACATAAATCTGATTACGTACATAAGTATATGTGTACACTAGTACCCAATAAAATAAACTCACTAAGTTGGTAAATCTGAAAAGAATTGCTGAATCAAGTATCAGATGATCTCAAACAATTCAAAGTAATAAACTAACCTCATGAAGTTCGAATGGTTTGATGTGATCCGAAATGAATAAGTTGAAATAATATAATGGATAATGAAACAGTTTAGTTTATTTCTTATCGTAATAATAAAACACTACAACTGACCATCAATACTATCTTAATCATTAATAATCTTTATAGAAAAGTTGAAAGGATACCTATTATATTATTTATATTATTAGTGTAGAGGGGATTGTGTATAATTTTAACTGTTGAAATAGTAGACTGATCTTAGTTAGACCAACATTAAAAACATGGAAGGACTGAACGGCCGTTTCGTTCTATGATGAAACTTATCAACAATGAGCCTTTACAACCATACAAGCGCGAATCGAGCCCACTACCTTAACCTGTAGATCACTGAGTCGGTATACAAAAATATTAATATTGAAATTCAATAAATTCATGATATTGTGCAACCATCATCTAAAAACTGCGGTGGATAACTGTCTCACGCCTGATGTGAATTAAATTCCATTTCTCATGGCTTCTCACTAGAATTCTACGAGTTACATATTGAAACCCATCGCTAGTGCGGACACGACTGTTGTTAATATGAGACATTAATAGAGATTGTACAATTTTCAGTCTACATCAAGATGAGCGCTGAGCGATAACGTAGATTGATTGAAGTTAGACATTAACACCATTGAATACCAACTCAGTGGTCTAGGGGTTTAACGATCGAGCACGAGACCAACGGTCATGGGTTTGACTCCCGTTTGCGGGTTCTGGGTATTTAAGTTAGATCGGTTTCGGAACATGTTTTCGAAAAGCCAATAAACCGTAATTGAAACAATCTTTCGCATTTCTACTTTGCATTCCTGAAATAATACTGTGAATCCAGCAGAGTTTATACGGATATAACAGTGACGACTCCTCAAATATAAAGTTTAAGACAATATACATCGCTTAAAATCATAGCATTTTAATTCAAGATTGTTTATAATATAAAATCAAATCAAATGATTAGTGCTGAAGTGACTAAAATGAAATGTTAACTAGAATAAGTTTATACGTTAAATGAAATGATGTATTTGCCCTTATATAGCTGAACAGATTTTGGATTAGTACCATAGATATATAATTGTAAGACCTGAAGAGAATTTATTAAAAAAAAAGGATATTCTTCATTTATATACGAGTGTTTTATTATAATAGGTAGTTTCCAGTGATTAAAAGTATATAAAGTATATTAATATTTCTTGGCATGCTTCAATGAACTTGAAACCAAAAAGTATCAATAACTCGACATTTAATCTATAGTGAACATATTATTATCGACATTCTGTAATCTTTCAAAATAATGAACCATGAAGAAAGCGCAACTTTATTACGCTTCGTTGAAGTAGTAGACATAAAAGAAAAAAATATTCAAACTAAATTTATTCGTTCAGTAGCCGACAGCTATCAATTTATTATTATCATGACAAATTCTCCTATTATTACTAATAGAGATAGAATTAGTAGTACTGTTTATATTAATTTTTAAAGTCTTCGCTATACTAATGACTATTTCTACTGGCGGCCTGCTTGAATATCTGGGCTACCTGTTCCTCCGATCTACATATTTCATCAAGTTATCTGTTTTGTTGCTTGTTTTAGTTCATCATTATGTCCATTGTGCACACAATCTATTCAGGCGCGTTTATGAAAAGTTTACAACCTTTCGCTATACGTGATACAAAAAGGTACAATCATCGACATCATGGTGGCTGGCAATATGCATTGAAACGAACGAACATTAATCAAATGTGGATTACCGAACTCCTAACATCTAACCGGTCATCATTCAAAATTTATCGTCACAATAGATCAAGGTATAAGAAAAGGAAACTTGTTGAAATACTTTATGCTGAGAATTCTATGTTGTACCAAAAATATAATGTTGAATAAAGCTTCTAATAATATAATATAATAATAATAATATTTCATCCATTGAAGAATTGCTCTTTATCATTCAGTGATGATCTTCATTTACTAAATCGTTCAAACTCATGTACACTCTTCAAATGTCCTATAATTATTGCGCGAACGATTTGATCAATATTTGAATTCTAAATAATGATTGATATTTAACCTTTATATTTTCTAGATATGTCTGTTGTGTATGATATTTATGTTGACAGATATAAATAGTATGTAACAACAAGCGGATGTGAAACGCCTGGCAACAGAAGATTGCAATGAAGAGAACAGGTAGGAGAATTAAAAGAAATAATGGAGTGTGTAAAGAACAACTGATGAAAAATGTGCAAATAATGCATTTAATGTGTGCTTTGCATATTTTGTGAAAGCACACTGTGTATTACAAAGTAAAGTGACTTTCTCCAACCGAGTACTTTGCTCGCTACATATCTACCTTATACATATATGTATCTTCACATATCTCTACATAGTACTGATATGCCTCGTCACATTTAATTCGTTCAGTCATCAACGTTTATTATTTAATAGTAGGTTACATGAATTGTTCTATTGTTGACTTCAAATGACCAAAGGATTATCCACTAAGCTATTGGGGTTCACATGATCACTAGCTTGTACAACAAGTATGAATTTTATTTAGTTTGTAATGGCTTTAAGAACTGTGACAATATACTTATAACGGAGCAATCCATATAGGATATACATATTTCAAGAATATTAACAATGAAACAATTAAAAAACTTTACAAATCAAATTAAATTCAAACTCATTACACAAGCTAGTGTCAAAGATATTGAACTAGAGTCCTAGTATGAACACGCAGTTACATCCACTCGATAAGTTCCAAATAGGATGAGACAAGCATTGTGGATTCCATTGTTAGCTACAAACTATTTATCTTATAAAAGTATGTTTTACATTGCGAAATGAATACAGTTGTAAGTAGTTGATAATAATACAAGAAATAAAAATAAATCCATATTATTCGACATCAAATAATATTCTTGGTTCTTTTCAACAACAAAGAAGTTAGAATAAAATAACTAACTGAAAGATTCAGTATTATTCAATGTGATTAACGTATATATATCGGGTACGGTTTTTCAAAACAGTTCAGTGAATTAAAGTAGACAATCTGTAGTAAACTTAAAAATTTAATAGAGCTTGATTGTAGACCAAAATTTCACACTCTTATTCATTAGTGATTGATAATACTAACTTATTACGATATAAATGTATTTGGTTTTGAGGTACACTTTTTAGGTGAAGGCTGTTGATGATAGTCGGTTGCATAAATCAAAGTAGGTGATAAGAGGTTCTGAAACTCGAAAACCTTCAACATTGAGCTACTGTTCTTATTCATCGGTGATTACAGTCGATTTATGGGTGAAATTATTTAACTGAGTTTCATTTTCATTATTTAATAACGACGTGGAATCACAATATGACTGGAGAAAATTAGCCCGAATAATCAAACAAAAATGATTTGAATAACTAGAATCAGTAGCTAAGAAGATAACCCTGAAGTGTTCCACACAAACAGTACTGAGATCGAATCGCGTAGCGAACATCAACACTGGGATTCAGGGATATTCAGCTGACAATTCGCAGGAAGAACGGAACGCGCATTCTGGATTCCACTACTAGCCACATTTCTATACTAACTGGTGTCGAGGCGATCCGCACAAAATACACATACGTCAACCAACATTGATCAAATTTGTTTTAAAATACCAACAACGCGATGATCTAAATCATTTCGAATGGAAACAAATACATTCAAGATGAAACAACTACATCGTTCAACTTACTCAACATATATTCTGTAACATACCTAAATGCCGTAGATCTAGCATCCTACGAGATAGGGAGCATTAAAGAGGGAATCGCCTGTTTAATACATTAAAAGATATCTTTACGTTTTCAAGTAGCTAATTATATCATTCTATAGTGTGAATATATAATTAACCAGATATAAATGAAGTAAAATTATCATTCGACAATAGTTTAACGAAAAATAATGATGTTTGTATTAATAACCACAATCTCACCTGAAAGAAAACGCCAATTCTCATCTTCAATATTGTGTATTTGTTCCATTGATCGTTTAGCTTGATCTTCTGTTAATCGACGTTGTAATGAACGTAAATGTATGACCGATTTCGGTTTCAATAGAATAGTTATAGGAAATAAACCAACCTCCTTGAAATATGAGAAAAATAATAATTAGTAAATAAAGGTTTTACGCTAAACGATACATTACAATTGTTTTTAACTAAACACAGAAATATTAAGATAAACTTCACTTGCAAGAGCTCCTGAGTTATCCCGTCCCGTTATCACTATTCGAGACTGAATTTTGATCAGTCTCAGCTGACATATATGCATGTTGTGTGAACTGCATGTTCTATGGAGGAGATGGACTGCGGCTAGTAGTGTTTAGAGAGTACACTCAGTTAACCCACTCCCAAGTAAGACGAAACGCGCGTCATTGATCTCACTGTTAGCCACAATCTATCTCCTCCATTTAAATAAACGTTCTGTCAAATTTATTTTGAAAGTTTTGCAACTGTGTGACAAGATATTATACAAATTATGAACCAATCTAAGTTAGACCACTATAGAAAACTAGAAGTACTGGACGATTATTTCGTCTTAGCATAAAACTATCTAGTAATGTTCACCCAAGAACCCGCACGCGAATCCCTGACTTCTAGACCAATGAGCTGGTGTTGATTACTACATAAGTCTAACTTAAATCCACCCAAGACGTTGCACGATTACCTTCCACCGTCCTCGATGACTGATTCCCCTCATATCCAACGCGGTTCAGCACTAATGGTCACGGCTTCTCACTAAAACAATGTTGCATGCTGACTCAGTAGTGTAGAGGTTAAGCGCCCGCGAGTAAAAACGGAGGTATTATGTTTCATTCTTACTGGCGTGTCTGTAGATGCTCACTACTGAGAAGTGTCGTAATTAGGATGAAACGGTAGTCCAGTGCTTCCAGGTTTTCAGTGGTGGTCGTTTCATAATTTTAAAGGAATTCAACAATCTCCATAAACCTATACTTATATTAGGCAAAGTTGTCGGTTTTATATATAAACAAGCCTATAAAAAATTAATACTTCTATAGTATTACTTCTGTGTACTGCTTCTGATAGAATGAAGTTTCTAAATAAATTGTAGTCACATATTTTGTTAATCGTTAATCGTAGTATATATATTACCTCCATAGACACAACTTGGAACTACGAAATTAACAGAAATTCCATCGGTATTTTAAATAATTCATATGAGATATAATATACTAACCAAAAGCGGAGACACAAACACGAACAAATATATACACAGCAGAAGAACGAGACCTACTTCTAAATATTTAGCAGCATCTAAGCCAACATCTAAAATGCATATTCGTCCTGACTGAAGAATCGATCGGACCGATTCTAAACTTGTACCATAGTAATGATCTTGAAAGCGATTAACTTCAATATATTTGCCTTGTTTAATATCTTCTTCCATAATTGATTTCGATGGTACAAAATAATAATCAACACCATTACGTTCATTTGACCGTTGTGGTCTATTTGTGTCTGTAATAATATTAAAATAAAATAAAAAGGGGAGATTATTATTATTCAAGCACATTAACGAGAAATGTTGGAAATTGTCCTAAGTATTGCATAATAGCTGAAATAACATACTGAGTTGACCAACAGTAGTCACTACAAGCAATCTATAGTAATTATAATTATGTCCTCTCATTGTTGACTAAGTTTAAGGAGTAATTTCTTGAATCCCAATAAGAAGCAATAACCAGTAACACCTCACTAAATTTCCTCATTGTTCATTGTATTAATTGTAATTCGTCTTGCTAATGCAAGCTAATGGACATTTATACCAACCTCTATGACATTTCATAAAATTAAGCCATGAGTAGTAGAGCTTAAAGTGTACGACTAAATCATTTACAACTACATATCCTAACCCCATAATAATCATAAAACCAATAATTAAAATAAATATTAATAAATACATATTTGAACAAAATAAAAATACTTACGTAATACACATGTTGTAAATTGTGAATCATGCAATAATAATTCGTCAATAATGCGATCCTTCAATGGACCGAAAAATATTAAAGGACGTGCCATAGAAATAGTGACTGGAACTACAAGATCATAACTTCGGATTACAGGGTGTCTGTCTGTTTTGTAGAAATAAAAAAAACGGACAAGTAATGAGTAAATAGAATGGTTTCAAATTACAATGAATCGTGAAGTCGATAGTAATGATAAATGGTCAATAGAAGAACGAATGGCGTAGTAATAATGTCTCAAACTGTAAAATTGAGTGACATAACCATGGTTGGACATGAGTAAACATACTGCGACCCCCACACCATTCAGACTATGGAAATTAATAACTTCACCAACTTATTTTTCACCTTTCTTTGGTACCGTTTATGCCTAACCTCAATATAGCTTATTCGGTCGTTCCAAGAAACGCAAGCAATGCTCCGAAGATAACTATGAACAAAAACCTGCAGCCGACATATGTTTTCTAATTCTAAAGACTGTTTTTTTACAGTTAAATAGTAAAACAGAGCAGACTGTAAAGCAGTATATACGATCTTAGGTTGGCAGAAAGACAACTCTCCTATTACACAAGTGACCCAAGTTGGTAATGACCAAGTGACCAATTTAGATGATCTGTTATTAACAAATTGCTTATATATACAGGTTTACCGAATAAGTTATGAACAAAGTATCAGTAGTAAATATTATGACAAATTTCATTTCAAATTATATATATATATATATATATATATATATATATATATATATATATATATATATATTGATTATGCGTAAACTTTTCCGTTTTGATTTTACATCAAGGATCTTCGTAACAATTGGATGAAAAACAAACTTATAAAAACAAGAACAGCCTACATTCAAACAACCAAGTGAGTACTTAGTTCCTAGCAAATTGGTTGTAAAACGGCATTTAGAGAAACAAACACACACATATACATTATTTTGTAGATTCTAAATAACAATGGGTAGTTATTTTTTTATTCATTACAAGAGTATGGCGTTTTTTAAATAACTAAACCTAGAGATTCCAAAGAAAGGAGATCTGAGCAAATGTGAAAACTACAGAGGCATTACACTGCTGTCAATACCAGGGAACGTCTTCAACAGAGTGTTGCTGAACCGGATGAAAGATGCAGTAGACGCCCAATTTCGAGATCAACAAGCTGGATTCCGTAAAGATCGATCATGCACAGACCAAATTGCAACACTACGGATCATCGTCGAACAATCAGTTGAGTGGAACTCATCACTATACATCAACTTCATTGATTATGAAAAAGCATTCGACAGTGTAGATAGGAGGACATTATGGAAACTTCGACACTACGGAGTTCCTGAGAGGATTGTCAACATTATCCGGAACTCATACGACGGACTACAGTGCAAAGTCGTGCATGGAGGACAGCTGACAGACGCATTCCAAGTAAAGACCGGAGTCAGACAAGGCTGTTTACTCTCTCCCTTCCTCTTTCTTCTGGTGGTCGACTGGATTATGAAGACCTCGACATCTGAAGGAAAACATGGAATTCAATGGACAGCTCGAAATTAATTAGACGATTTGGACTTCGCAGATGACCTAGCCCTCCTATCGCATACACATGAACAGATGCAGACAAAAACAGCTAGTGTAGCAGCAGTCTCTGCATCAGTAGGTCTCAAAATACACAAGGTGAAAACCAAGGTCCTCAAATTCAAAGCGGAAAACAACAATCCGATCACTCTTGATGGCGAAACTCTGGAAGATGTAGAATCCTTCACATACCTGGGAAGCATCATCGATGAACAAGGAGGTTCAGATGCAGACGTAAAGGCAAGGATTGGCAAAGCAAGGGTCACATTCCTACAATTGGAGGACATATGGAACTCAAAACAACTTTCAACCAATATCAAAGTGAGAATCTTCAATACCAACGTCAAGGCAGTTCTACTGTATGGAGCTGAAACTTGGAGAACTACAACAACAACCATCAAGAAGGTACAAGTATTTATAAATAGCTGTCTACGCAAGATACTCAACATCCATTGGCCGGATACCATCAGCAATAGCCTTCTGTGGGAGAGAACAAACCAACTTCCAGCTGAAGAAGAAATTAGAAAAGACAATGGAAATGGATAGGACATACATTACGCAAATCGTCAAACTGCATCACGAGGTAAGCGCTAACTTGGAATCCTGAAGGGAAGCGAAAAAGAGGAAGGCCAAAAAACACATTGCGTCGGATAATAGAAGCAGATATGAAAACGATGAATTACAACTGGACGGAGCTAGAAAGGACTGCCTAGGACAGGGTTGGATGGAGAATGCTGGTGAGCGGCCTATGCTCCTTCACGAGGAGTAACAGGCGTAACTAAGTAAGTAAGTAAACCTAGAGTGATATGTGAAAGGGACAACTTTCCAAGTTGAATAAATTACTTCAAGATCAACTGGTACACATGTATGTTATGCAAAAAACATACAACGGAAGATTAAGTATAATCACATATACTCGTAACATCCAAATTCAATTCAAGAATGTCAACAGTATGATGAAGTACTTTTGTATTCGGCTTATTACAATTTTAAAAAGTGTGGTGGCAAGTAAAGCGGTTTATAAATTTTAAAAGTTTTATCTACAAAGAACTATATTCGTCTAAAGAATCACCGATGAACAGATAACTATAGTTTAAAATAATATGGATTATTGCATTACGAAACAGTGTTCGCAGCGAAAACTGGACGAATAATGATCTGAGAATGTACCACAGATGTACAAGTTGTCTGAAGGAAACAGCCTACTTCATTCACACTCTTTCACAGTCTACAGTACAATTTTACCGTGACACACTACGTTTTTTGCATTTAATCTTGTTCTTAGTTTCTAACCAAGCTGTTCGACATGATACGACCGAAAAAATCCCAATGTTATGGTCATTAATATCGACTGGATCACCGCACAATATACAAACTCAATCAATACAACAAGGTAGCAACTACACAGTCAGGACTTCAATACATAAAAATTGAATGCTCTTTTTATAATAAAAAACGATAAGTAATTGACATTAACCCTGGGTATAAATTACATTAGATCCCAGACAATCTTACTCCCCTTATTAGAACACATGATTGAACATTTTTTTAAACCTTCAGGTGAATCAAATATTTTGGTTCTGCTTGGTTAAAGTATTCATATGTATATAAACAAATTTTCGCTCAGTATCATTTTAAGAACATTACTGTGTACAATTAATTAATAGAAATCGTGTGTAAACGCATGAATTAGTCAAAAAAAAAAGCTAATTACAAATGATTATGTAAACGTTTATGATATGTTTAAACGAAAAGTAGCACAAATCAATAATGGCAGAAAAATGAAGTGGTTACCAAGAGAAAAAATACTTTAGCTTCCATTGTGTTCACTTTTCTTCAATTTTAGAATTACCAAATAAAAACAGTAAGAAAATGTTCATGTGTGTATGTGTCGGTTAAATCTCGTTACAGAATACATATATTAGGCAATGAACGTTAAATATTGACAGATGTTTTATACCGTATGATCAAAACACGATGCAACTCCATTCAATCACCTTTCGTCGATAACAGTCATGCAGTAGATAGAACTGAATCATTCAGAGTAATTTATTGTATACCTACTACTTTTTCTTATAGGATTAGATCTCATCAATTCCACATAGCAGAAGCTACAGGGATTGCAGATAAAAACCTAAACCTTTGTATTCATAAAAAATCTGCAATGCCTCCATCTCTTTCTTAAATAAACAAAGCAAATGATCTTATTTATAATTATTTTCCTTATCCTTTGTTCATTTGTTATTCTTCACCCCATTTCACAACATACCCTTACCTATCTAATTATATGAACAATCATTATCAAGCAATTTCAATACTTTTTAATGATTGTTATTTCAATATAAATATTTTTCAGTTCTTCGATCCACATGATACTATACAACACTGACCCAAGCTTTTATTACTCGTATTAAAACTAGTACACCTTTCATAACACTATCAATTTGTACATTTTAATTATTCTATTTAGTTATGTAATCTACTTTGTTTTGATTATTGTCTTATAAACTACTCTGAATGGCTAAATATCTTTATGTATTTCTATAAACCGTATAAGTAAAGATAGATAGTGGCTAGCAGTGAAATCCAGGACGCGCGTTTCGTCCTATTTGGGACTCGTCAGCTGGATGTACCTGCATCTCAGAGTTGATGTTCACTCCGAGACACGAACCCAATACCATTCGCATCAAACGCCATCGCGTTATCCACTCAGCTACTGAGTCCTGATAGCCACTTGCTCGTGCAATGGGGTGAATTTAAATTCACTTGGTATTGTTTTGCTTGTATCTTCCCATTGAGGTTTAAGACTGCAATTGATCAGTCTGTTATTGGCATATATGCATACTGTGCGTATGCCTCGATATTGCCTTAATTCACAAGCTTTTATAAGCAAAGATGGATAGTGGCTAGCAGTGAATTAAGGCAATATTGAGGCATACGCACAGTATGCATATATGCCAATAACAGACTGATCAATTGCAGTCTTAAACCTCAATGGGAAGATACAAGCAAAACAATACCAAGTGAATTTTACCGTATATTAGAATAAAGCCTGATAAGGATTGAGGTCAAAATAATGTTGATCGATTACACATGTTGTCTTAATATTCTACCATACAATACTGTAATTCACTCCTTCAAATAATTGGCTGAAGTTAGGCATGAACATCGTTGGGTGTTGGGTCAATGCTTTGAAGAACAGGCACTCACCACAAGACCTGAAGTTAAGGATGATCATTAATGAGGGGCGAAATACTAGGGTGAAACAGGTCCCCTATGCATCCAGTCAGTCAGCTACAAAGTAGGACCAGGCAGTTATATGCATCGGTTCAAGTTGCCATTTCATTAGCATAACAAGGTGAACACCAAATTCATAAAAGTAGTTACTTCAACGGTAGTAATATATAAAAGAAAGATTGCGTATGAGGATATGCATCGTTTTGTTTAATATTCAACTAACTAAGATTAGTTCATGATGTAAAATATGGGACTGGCTAGTTATATATCAATCTGTTTGAATATTTTGTCTAAAAAACA